GGAAGAAGTAGATCAATGTTGTCCAAACTGCTCCAGCTCAGCCAGTGAGTACAGGTTACCTGCCAGCCCTGCTCTGCCTTCTGATTCTTGTCCAGATGGACCTTCACACGAGGCCACCTGGTGGTATGTAGGAGGGTGTTTTCTGGGTTTCAGGGCCCCCATACGTCTCCTTCACAGTTGCCAGGAGATGCCTCAGCAGTAGGACTCCAGGTCCCCTGACTTTTCTGGATAGTAAGGAAAGCCTGAAGTCACACAATGAGGAGAACACTCATGCTGTGGACTTCTACTCTCCTGCCACCCAAAGGATACCAAGGATGCCATGCTTTTGACCTGGGCTTCCTTTCCACTGTGGCCAGTCGCCTTGAGTCTGCAGTGTAGCTAGCCAGTTTGAAAGTTTATGGAGCTACAAAGTGCGACTTTCCAGAATTCAAAGGGCGAAGGGGAACTGGCGTGAGAAAAGAAACCACTGCAAAGGTTCATTGCGCTCGTTCCCTTTCCCTGTCCCTGGTGGTCCTCTAAGGGATGACATGCCACTGTGGGAGCTCCAGTACTCCCTGCCCTCCCAGCTGCAAGTTCCTGGAGAGAGACCCTTTTCTTCCCCCTAAATTAGAGGAAAGATCCTCTAACTACATCTCTGTGCCTCGGTATTGAAGTATTTCTGGCATCGTGTCTGCTGTGCCCATGTGGTGTTCCTGAAGGCAGACCCAGAAAGCATGGCTGAGCTATTACAGAGCACTTACTATAGATGCAAATCTCTTGGGGGCCAATTTTAGAAATATTTTGCACCCTGCAGGAGGACAATATGTTTGTTCTCAGTTGCACCTGAGTGGAATTCGGGGAGGGGTGCCATGCCGTGTGTTTGTTTCTCTAAGCACCCTGGGAGGTTTGGAAATGAGTGCGATCCGAATCCCATTTTCCAAATAATAGCACAGTCATTATTACACCACTCATTTGCCCCCTACCAGGCCCAGAATGCATGGAGGAAGATCTCAGTAGCCAACCCAAAGATGGGAGAGAGGCTACTTCCAAGTACATGTAGGGTGTGCACTTGTATTAACCGGGAACTCTCTCCTTAAGGAAAGGGCTATTCAACATCAGTACCAAAGGCTAGGTAAAATGCTGAAATATGAATTGGTCTAATTTTCTGATGTCTTATAGAACTTTCTTGTGCTCATTCTTTTTGAAGTAAAGGTCCAGTTCTCTCATGCTGCTCGCTTTTGGACCCACGGAATCTGACGGTTTTGAGGCTACTCATGAGGTTTCCAGCGGCTAGTTCCTTGAAGAGGACAGCCGATTTCTTTTTCAGAGTCTGTCCCAAAGCTGTCACCTCCGTTGAAACCTGTTCACTTCAGGTGACTCTGCTGGCATCTGAAATACCAGTGACATCGCTTCCAACATTTCAGAGTAACACACAAGCCACCAGAATGCCACCAGCGGAAGGATCGTGAGACCAGGTCTCATGTACTTCGGGCATGTTGTCAGCAAGACAACATGTCAGTCCCTGGAGAAGGACACCCTGCTTGGTAGAGTAGAGGGACAGCTAACAAGAGGACTCTCAGGCAAGGTGGAATAATATAGTGGCTGCAGTTTATGGGCTTAAACATAAGAACGATTGTGAGGACTAGGCAGTGTCTCATTCTGTTATACATAGGGTCTCCACCTCACAACAGCATTCATTTCTAGAACTAATATTATCATGTTACAGAGAGAAATATTGATGTCAGTCATACCGAAAGCACAGGTAAATAGAATCTAACTTAGCATGGCTATTTGTTTTATTTGTCTGGATCCAGTTAGAGAAAAAAGACCACACCAGGTAGTTCAATAGAGGGAATTTGACAAAAGAAGCCAGTTTTAAAGGGGAAGGAGCCCTG